CACACATGCACACACACATGGGCATAGGCTGGCACACATGCACACACACACACATGGGCATAGGCTGACACGCACACACACACACACATGGGCATAGGCTGGCACACGCCAGGCGTTCCAGCCATCTCGATCCCGGGTGGCAGTGGCTGTCTTTGCCGGGACTTGTCCAGCCCGATGTTTGCGAAAGCGAAGCAGACGAATGGCGGTGGAGACAGAGACAGAGACTGGCAGGCTTTCTTTACAGCTCACTGGTTGTGGTAAGAGGGCTCAAACAGCTGGGAAACAAGCCATGAGCTTCTCCCGAAATGACCCTGCTGACAGGACAGGCTCTGGTCCTCTCAGCGCACACTGAACTCCAAGCCTCTTTGCCGGTGTCTCGACCAGCCCTGCCCCTGCAGCTCTTCAATACCCTTGACGTGTCCTGTAAGAGGCATGAGATGTTTCTTTTTTACAACGGAAAAGTAGTGCTGTAATTTCCGTCACGGGATCGATAAAGTATCTATCCTAAACTGTAAAATAAAAAAGACCCTTCTGAGAACCTGGAGTCCTGAATCCCTGTTCTACAAGATGTCTTTTATTTTTATTTTTCGTAGGAGGAAGAAGGTCAGGTATATAAATTTGTTCTTCCATGGCTGTGCGGCACTGGAGACTTGCTCTGGGCCTCACACCGAGGGAGACACGGGACTTGTGCCATCTCTCCAATCTGCCCAAATCCCGGCTGTGGTGGTTGTAAAACTGGAATTCCCACAGGAGCAGTGAGTTTCCTTCAGTTTGGTTTTGGTTTTCGATGAAGACTCTCAATTCAAAGGCTTTTTTTGGTGGTTGGATTGGAAAGTGACACCGAAGCAAGAAGCGTAGTGTCTCGGGACAAGGGAAAGGGAGACCTCCGGAAAGACGAGTGCAGGCAGAGCTATGTTTTAAAACGAGCATGTGCAGTTCCAGTGAGCCAGTCGAACTGCTACCGAGGAATTGATTTCCCTGCCAATATTGCTTCTGCTGATTGACTTTAAACGTTAATTCTATCTGTCTTCTCCAGTGGCCAAGCGTGGCCAAGATTCTCATGTAATTACTATATCACACTTTGAGTTTATATTGCACTTGTCATGCTCCCCAAGGGCTTTGCAAGTAGGAGGGCTCTCACTTTATCTAGCCCTGGAGGGCTGCGGGCTGTGGTGGTGTCATTTTCCAAGCAAACCAAATCAGTCAAAACAGAAGGAAAGTGAGAAAGTGGAGCCTGGAATTGAGCCAGGACACTGGGGTGAGAAATCAGTAACACTTCAGGTCAGGGGTTACAGACACTGTTTCTATATGCTTTCTAGATTGAACTTGTTAATAAAGCAACATAAATATGGATAGTAGTTCATGCTGAAAAGAAAAGAAAGGAAACACAACATTTCGTCTGTGGAGCCTTCTTTGGGTGTGAGAGACGGCAAAGATTAAATAGCACAGGAGAACAAAAGCTGGAAAAGTGGAGGAGGAAGGAGAGAGGAGAGGCAGAGAGGCCAATCAGGAAGTTCAAAGTGGAGAGATTTATATAAATAAATACTGATATGCTCAAAACTAGGATATACAATTAAAAGCAAATAATTTAATTAAATTGATGTGATGGTAGAATTATTTAACGCACTCATTCCGAATATTGTGTACAGTTTCAGTCACCATGTTATAGAAAAGGTCACAGTTCTGGTGTCTATCCAGAGAAGAGCAATCGGAGACTTTCCAGGACTTAACAGAATCTCCTATGCTGGAACTGAATCTTTTTAGTGTTGAACAGAGAAGACTATAAGAGGACCTAATACCTAAAGTATTCAGGATCCTCAAAGCCATTAACCCATCAGACATCTCCAGAATCAACAGTGAAACACAAACCAGAGGACTCAAGTGCAAACTGCAGGTAAGTGGATTTAAAACCAAGAATAGGAGCCTCTTCTTTACTCAGGTTGTTGTGAAAGAATGGAACCAGCTGCCCAGCCATGTTGTTGATGCTGATAACCTGGCTTCTTTCAAGAACAACCGGATGGGATCATTAGATCACTACTATCAAATGGGCTAAACGGGCTGAATGGCCTTGTCTGGTTTATAACTGTTCTTATACAGCAATAACTACAACTTCGACTGTGGATTAACTGCATGTTTATAACAAACCTGTAGCCTGAGTCACACCCTTAAACCTGTCTGTTTTTGACAGAAGGTAGACTGTTCCATGTTCAGTGCTTTTCTAAATTTATGAACATCTGGTTTATATGAACATTATAAAGTATAATTTTGAGCTCCCTAACTTGTTTCTGAGAAAGCCAGCTCTTTCAAAGAGTTTCTTTGAGTCTTTAACAACCACGAGCAGTCTGGATGTTGTCATTACCTGTTGTCAGACTCCATGGAAAACGGAAGTGCTGGTTGGCACACTACAGCAGGCACGGCTGCAAATAACTACAGAGGGGAGTTGCACCTCAAACCCATCATCCACTAGTCACAACAAAAAGCTGCTGAGAGACTTTGGGTGTTGATCAACCTTCACCAGGCAAGTCAGTTAGGAAGGAAGTTAGTCAGTGAGATGATGTCTAAGCTGTTTTTTCCCTGCAATTTTGCTTTTGCAGTGTAATGGCTTTCAGAAATAAAATCACTACATTCCTTCCCCTGGCCTCTCTTGACATATATGGCGCCCTCTACTGCTCAGATTTATGGTGCTGGGTGGAAGACATTGGAGGTTTAGAGTGCTACTGACTGATGACTGGGTCAGTCCAGTGCTGCAGAGTGATTTCATTTCGAGGGTCTTGTGAGGGGGTGAAGTGAATCTTCTTTTGTTCTTTTCTTGCTTTGTTTAATTCTGCAACATGCTAATTTATGAGCAACAAATCTGTAAAAGTGTTCAACACATGGCAGCAGTTATGTTATGACAGTTTGGTTGGCCCTGGAACAAATGAGATCATTATGCATGAATGGGAAATTAAGGAATTGGTTCACGCTGTACATACAGTCATGTCCTCTGAATTATCTTGGACACCTTCCAGTTATAAAGCAGCCTTTATATACTGCGTTGACCAAAAACACATGCAATATACTAGATAATGTTTACAGTTATTAACGACTGCTTTATTTAAATTCTTATGTCTTCATGATGTATTGTAGATTTTGTTGTCTGTCTGTAAACACTACATAAAAGTAATTGATCTTGGAAGATCGTGCAGTCAGCTGGCTGTGGTATGCATTTATTACCTAGCTGCAGATCCCTCACAGTATTTTAACTGAGGCTCCTGTCCTGATGCCAGTTTTGGCCATATGGGCTTGTTTATCAGTGTCCTGCTCCTCAGTGCCTCCAATGAAGAGTTGGGTTTCAACAGTGGAAGAGAGGGCTACCTCCATTCCTCGCCCATCCTCCACTGAACTGAGATTAATGCTAAGATGCTCAGATGGAACAATCACCATCCAGACCTCACTTCAAAGTGCTGCCTGTAAATCACAGACTGCTTCCCTTTCTTGGGTCATCTCTTTTGGCCAAGACTGGCTATTTTATGTACCATTCATAAATTCATTAGCTCATGGTCGTGAATCCTGTCTCACTTCTCATCTTGACATGTTTATGGCATGATTTTATGTAGCTCTCATATGGGTCAGTGCATGAAGTCTGCAGAAAGCCTCCTTTTAAAGGCACACAGCGAAGGATTTGGGAGTTGGATGTCCAGAATATTGACCAGATCACGTTCAGTGCACGTTTTTTTCCCCGCTCTCAGATGTCCAGAAACATTTTAGATTAAATTTGCTGCTAACATTGACTTCAGAGCCAAAAAAGCTCACTCCATCTGATACTTTTATACTTTCATATCTCAAAAAATGTGGGACCTGAGCTTGGAAGCTGCTTTCAAAGTACCTTCATTAACCTGTACAGTAGGTCATACTGTGAAATTTGCGTACACCCTGCATACCTACACGCCTGAGGAAGACTCTGGGTTCTGTGGCATAGCCTGGGCACAGAATTGAACCCCAAGAAGAGTAAGACAGGACACAGCCCAGAGGTCCTTAGAGGTCCTGGGCACACATTCACTAAGCTCTGGAGCCAAGCAGCTGTGACCCCTCAGTGTGAAATCAGTTCTCACAAACTTGTCACTACCAAGCTAGCAAAGAAAAGAACACTTGAGGTTACTCTAGTGATGATTTCACTCTTCCTATCCTAGTGAGCTCCACGCAGTTAAAGAAACAAAAACTTCCAGGAAATAAGAGCACCAGGAAAAATGCAAGATCCGTTGTGATCATCTGCTAGCAAGCATCATTGATCCACAGATCTCTTCCTGTTCTTATCAGAAGGATCCCAGCAAATGAGTTTGTACGACATGGATGAGTGGTTTGCTCCGGATAAAACAGAATCCTTTAGATCTGTGCCAGGCTTTTGTTTCTCACTTTCAGTTAGACAGGGAAATGTGGGAACAAGGAGTAAAGATGACAAAGGTAATGCCATAGAGGTGGCGGATTAGGAGGCACATTTGAGGCAGCTGTAACAATTCGTCCCAAAAGAGAGAAGAGCAGCCGTGCGGAAAGCTCGATTTCAACGTGAGCAAATTTACAGGAGACCTTGTCTGCTGGGAATGAACAAATCAGTCGTAAAAGCAGAATGTGCAGCACATGGTAAGTCACCAAAGTTGTCTCCTTGGATTTATGTGAGCAATGTTGCAGGTCTACAAGATGAGACGCTTTTAGGAATGCAAGGAAAACTTTGTTACATAAAGGCCCCCTTTCACAGATTCTCTTATCTGCTCCTGTCTTGTCATGCCACACGCAGGCTATATATAAACCTACGTTAAAAATAGTTGGCATTTCAATTGATTTAGGGAAAGATTCAAAGTGGATAAAAGCTTCCCAGAAGTAGGGCCGCCTGGTCTCATTCTCTCCCCAGCCTGCGTCACAGAGAGCCTTTGAAGGAACTGGGAATACACATGGATAGAAGATAAAAGGATGATTGGCAGCAGGGAAGGTGGCCCAGTGAGAATTTAACCCGCACCAGCCCAGTGAGTCCTGCTGGAGCAGCGGGCTGGACCTGGGCTGGTGTCAGACGCTTCCTGGAAAAAACATTCTGGCACCCTCTGCTGTTAGTATCTGAACGCACTGAGAAAAGGCAAACTGTCCACATGGTGTAAAAGCAGAGCATATCTTAGTCTTAAAAAAAAAACTTGCCATGTTAGTGAATCTGCATGTCATGAAGCAGAGACAGATGGCTGCTGATTGACGTTCAAGTTCTTTTGAAGCCGCTGGGAACAGAAAATGACGCCCACACCACAACCAAAGAATGTCAATAACCCTGTTAAGAGTGCAGCTACTGCAGTTTCACCATGATGAAACCGAACATCACTCATTCCCCGTTTACCCTCCTGGCTGCTGGTACTAGTACATCCATCCATCTTCTAACCACTTTATCCAGTACATGGTCACAGGGGAGCTGGACTTTATCCCAATGCACACCAGGTGCAAAGCAGGATACACCCTGAATGGGACGCAAGTGCATCACAGGGGAGACACGGTCAGCTGCTGCTGTACCTCTTCTTAAAATGAGCTTAACGGCTCTGTTTGGAGTTAACATAACTAAAATGCATATGCTTTGGCTTTATGGACTCGGGCTGGTTTTCGCAGCCCCCCCACGTACTACCCACCTTGTTGCTGTCTTGCAAAGAAACACTCTGTGTTCATCTGTGACAGGAGGCAGCCGAAGACTGATGTTGAGACAGCTGTTCGCAGGCAGAGCAGTGTGATCTGATCAGCCTGCATCCCCCCAGGGAAGAGGCCCTCTTGTCCAAATATGGGGCCTCAAGCAGTAGGGTGAACCCCTGGGTTCCCCCAGGGCCCTGCTACAGAGCCTGAACTCCCAAAGCAGTGAAGGACGGCGAAGGCTGTAGGCCGATCACACAGCGCGACCACATTGAGAGCAAATAAGGAAAACATTCGTATGGTTAAGCAGCTGAGGCTATCCTTGGTCCTCATTCATTGCCAGTTTTATCAGTTTACATGGAACAAAATTAAGCTTTTCTTCAGCTTACCAAGTGATTTGAGTTGACAGCATTGGTCCTGGAAGGCTGTAGGGTTTTCATGTGAGATATTGCTATAATACTTCAATAAACACATGCCCTGCTTGAAGTGGTAAATGGTTTTGTTTTCAGTAACTCATGATTCTGAGACCTGTTGAACCAGGGCTGTTGCTGTGGTACACAGTTGTCTTCCGGATTGCAGATATAACACTCCAAATGTGCAATTTTAACATCATCTCCCTGCTCTTGTAACAATGGCAAATTTGTTTTCCTTATTAAGAAAGTGTAGCTGACATAGTTTATGACTTGTGCTCCAGTGCATTATGGCAGAAATCTTCATTTAATGTGTGCTGCACCCTGCTATAACAGGAACAAACTCTCCAGATC